GAGACCCACAATCATCATCTTCCTCCTCCTCTTCTCCATCATGATTGAATTTTTTTACTTTAACAACTGAACTTACCACAGGCAACTTTCTCTTCCGAAAGTTTTCTTCCTGCAATCAGATAAATTTACGCTTACCTAGTCTCAGAAAATAACAAAGATCTACCACAGTATTTCTTCCTTTTCAAGAAAAAGCCAATCATATTTAGAATTCACAGGCTACTTCCTGGTTTCTTATAAAAATATAAATATCCCTAGTAGCCAATCTTCAGCTAAAACAAAAACTAGTGCTTTACAATCACTTATAAACAGCAGCATGTAACACTGTTGAAGAAACTAATAAAATGAAATTACTTGTTTACTAGTAATTGCTGTGGAAAATCTAATAAAATTGACCTAAAATTCTACCAAAACTATAAGGTAAGGTTAAAGGTATCTCAAATGGGGGGAAAAAAGGTTATCTCAAATGCTGGCATCCCAGAAAAATAAGATGTAAAATATCTGTAGAAGCCAGTTGTGAAGAGGAAAATCTGATGTAGTATGTTCAGTAGCAGATGTATCAGTTTAAAGTAAACTTGCAATACGTGTGTAGCTATTCCACACATATTTAGTATTAAGAACTGCTAATTTTCAGCCTAACAAGCCAGAATTTAGAAGCATATACAGGGATGCCTGGCTGACTCAGTTGGTAGAACATGTGATTCAATCTCAGGGTCACTGAGTTCAAGCCACATGTTAGGTGTGTGGCCTACTAAAAAAATAATAATAATAAAATAAAATAAAATAAAATATATACAAACCTCAATACTCATTTTTTCTGAGTTGTTTCTGAAGAAGGGACTATAAGTCTCTTCTAAGCTGTTAAGCACTTCCTGTTCACACAAACGTCCTGTTTCATATACCCGGCTGTTCTGTAAATCAGGTTGCTTGGCAGCATGAATATTGTTTTGTTGCTGCTGAAATTGCAACCTGTTTAAATGAGCACCACTATCTGCATTTCGACTTGCAGGTGGTCGATAAATTTCAATAGAAGGGCGAGAAGAACCATACGTAAGTGTCACTGTCGGTTTTTTCTGAGATAAGGGATTCTCCTGCACAAAATTGAGGTCTTCATCAATGAGATCATCTGGTTCTGGCTTAATATCAATCACATCTTCAGAGGGTGCTGGCTCCCTCAGAGGCTTCACAGTTGACATTAATCGGGTTGCAGCTCCATCATCATAAGTCTGTCTATTTTTTTAAGAAACACACAAAGAATTATATCCAATTTAGAGCAGTATCTTTAAATCTTCAAAGAACATTTAAATTTTAATGAAACAAGGGAGACACTCCCTTTACAAATTCCATTAAAAACTACTCTAAAATTGCATTCTATTTTAAAACTTTGACTTACTACATTTGAGGTAAAAGATAATCATACTTTGGATTTTATTTTATTCAAAAAAATTGCTCATGACCACCTCCTTAGTTCCAAAACTTTCTGAAAACAGAAATTTAAAGATATAAAAACCAATGTAAATGTCACATACACACACCTACCTACCCACAGAAGGTCTACAGAGGATTCTCACCTAACATTAGTGGTTTTCTGCTCCTGTGAACTAGTAGAAACCCTGGAATCTCTTTTCTCAGGTCTTGTGCTAGCAACTGCGAGGGGTGGCACTGCAGCTTCATGCCTTCTCTCGTCTCCCCGACCGAAACTGCTCTTGTTTGAAGACACGTTATTATCAAAGATGTTGGTATCAGAAGACTTGAGACTGGAGGGATCTGAAAAGAAAATCACATGGTCCTTTTAAGCTGTTATTTATTACTTTGAACCTTCCCCGTCTTCATCACCAATTTAAAAGCAATACGTGTTCTTCCACAACATTTTTAATGGCTGAATGTTATTCCATACATAGTAATATAATTATTTTGATTTGCTATTACTAAACTTTTAAGGAATTTTCCATTATAAAATACTAAAATATCCTTGAAGCTAAATCACTGCACACATGTACAATTACTTCCTTAACATAAATTGCATAGTTTCCCTTCCTTTATTTAAGTTTACTTATTTATTTTTGAGAGACAGACAGAAACTCCCAAATAGGCTCTGTGCTGGCAGCACAGAGCCTGACACAGGGCTCAAACTCATGAACCATGAGATCATGACCCAAGCCAAAATCAAGAGTGGGGAATTTAACCGACTAAGCCATCCAGGCACCCTTCTCTTCCATCGTTTAAATTATCTTTAAATTATGTTAAATTTATTGCTCTTGAATTCATAATTCATAGGCTTCCTAAGAAAGTTCAAGTGAACCACTGTTTTCAAATTTATGGAATTTTTCCCAAAGCAATATACATGGCTTTAGAAAGAAAATGCTATAGTAAATTCCAAAAACCCTGAATTTTAATGAATCTTACCAGTTGTAACAGAGCGAAGTTTATCTAATACACCGTGAAGCCTGAAAGAAAAAAAATATATTTTAAAGCTTCCTTTAATCAAGAAAGATTTTCTCAATTGTCACTTGAAATTTGATGACATTATAGAATTTACCTTCAGATATAATGGTACTAAATGGTATTTAATAGATAAACAATACTAAAATTAAAGACTCAATGTACCTTAGGGTAAAAGAAGATAAAACACACAAGTATGTAATACAGATTATTACAATCATTTAAGCAGTTTGTTTTATCTATTAATATGGTTTTTGGGACAACTTAATTCCAAGAGTTGAAAAAACTTCAAAATAATCTTAAAATATATCACTTCATTGTAACTATTACTTACAAAACTAGTCACATGAACAAGAATAGACTACAACCTTGCTTATAATATAACCTGTTTTAGTAGTTATGTACAAGGCAAATGTGCCTTACAATCCTTTCAGGAGGCTTCATGAAAACACCAGAAATATCTCATTAATAATGTTTCAACCAGAACCCAGTCACATGCCACTGTCCCCTTGGACACAATTATTGCAGAATAGTCCGTTTCAAGCTGGTGAATGAACATTTAACTTAAGAAAATAAACTGCCAAGACAGTGACATCGTAACTTGTATCAGTATGTGTTAAGGAACTAAATTTATGGCAAGATGAGAAAGGTGAATTAATGTGATTTTAAATTCAAATTCATGTAGTCCTTTATGTAAGAAATTTGTCTCAAGCATTCCATCAAGTTAATTAAGAAGGATCTACTGAGTCAATCTCCCATATTATACTAGTGGGACTCCAACCCAAAGTGATACCAAGGATGAACCAAAAAAATCAAGTCATAAAACATGTATATGAAAGAAAACAAATACCTGGACCGTAGATTTAAAAAAAAAAAAAAATCATAGTTTCCCCAGTCAAAAGTTCCACGGTCTTTTTTTTTTTTTTTTTTTTTTTTAAATTCTAGGGACTAAGTGTAACAAGTGGGTTAGATCACCCACGTTACGGTAGTGGATGTTCCAAAACATCTGAGGATCAACCAGTGTACTGAATGTTCTTCAAAACTATGTAATATAATCAGAGAATTCTATTTGCAATTTCAAGAAAACTTCACAAGACTGATAAAGCATATAGTAGCCCACTGGGGCAAAAATACCTTCAAGATAAACTCTAGTTTAAAAGCAAGAAGTAGAAGTTAACCAGTTTCATATCCCTCTTTAGTGCCTATTAACCTCTCCCAGTCTCCTGCCATAAAAAGTAAGCAGGCCACTCTACTAGCTCAACTTTTGCTCCATTATCAACTTGTTCTGTAATTGGTGGTTCCCAGAGTGAGGGCCTTTTCACAGTACTTCCTGATCTATTCTCAGCCACATCATTACCTCCCCCTACCCTCACTCTACCTCAAACATGGTACCAGAGCCTGGCCTGCCTTCTTAAATGAATCTTATGCTTTTTCTCCATATTCTCAACTGAAAGGCCTCTGTTGGTTTGAAAAAGGACACTGAAAATAATAACATGAATTTATATTTAAACATAAAATTATCTTTTTACAATCCCAAACTTCAGAAGGTTCCAAACTTTTAAAACTCATTTGAAATTTTGTCCAAAACCTTTGCCCCCTAAAGGTTAACGCACTAGAGAAAGCAATTTAGGAAGTCAACCCGGCCCCCAAAACATATGTAACTGGTTTGGGTTCAGGGAAAGGAATAAGAGATCCAAAGGTTTACAAAGAAACACAATAACCTACAGTTAACACAGACTAAGGACTTGCTATGGGCCAGGCACAGATATAAGTACCTTACATATATTATTTCATTTAATCCTTACAATGTCCTATAAAGGGAATTTATTAATCCCATTTTACAAATGGAAAAACCAAAGTAAGAAGAAGATCCAGGATTCAACCTCAGCAATCTGGCTCCAGAGGCTGTGCTCTCATGCATGGCTCACTACCTACCTCTCCACAGTGAATCTGCCTCTCCTGTCAAGAACCTCTTTTCAGACAGAATACCTACTCTGATTTGTGCCAAACTTTGGTCTAAGGGGTAAAAATTCAGAAACATACCATACGGTGAATCGAATTGTGTTGTTCCCTAGAAACAGGGACAGGTCCTCTGTCATTTGGTCCTGACTTTTCTTGTTGGCCACCATCACCATAATGTAATCAGGAAGTTCTTCATCTAGTTAAAAGGAAAAGTATATAAAAACTTTTTTACGTTTTCCTCAATAATGACTTCTAAAAAGTTAACGTACTTGAAAATATAAATATAGCTCTAAGAATTAACATCTCAGCTCTACTAGAATTATGTTGGACAAGAAAGTATAGCTTTTTTTCCTCTTCATTACATAGGTATTTCAATTATTGGTAAGGATGGAAATTAGAAATAACTAACAAATCCTTATAAAACTAGGTATCCTGAATTACAGTATCAAACTTGAGTGTATTCATTTCCTTTTTATCTTTTTAATTAATGCTCATCAATTTCAGCAAAGCTTCCAAAAAGCAAATGGATATTCCTCAAGAATAATAGAGTTTTGTATGTTTTGTGTTTTATTTAAGCTTCAAAATTATACTCCTTTCTCAAGAGAACATCTTTATCCTCAGTAAAGGCAGATTTCTATTATCTCAGGGTAATAAACCTCAACATCAAATGAACTAAAACCACCCAAAAACTCTACATGGTTTAAAAAATTTAATCTTAAATTTAAATAATTTCAATTTCACTGTTTTATCCTCACTCTCCTACATAATGATTATGAAGGTGAGGTCTAGGACCAAAAAGAAAAACAAAACCACCACAATAAGAAGATAAGGAAGCAAAAGGCATTTATCAAGAACTCTAATCCCCACCAAAAAAAAAAAAAAAAAACCTTCAGATTTAATACCTAAAATATTCCTATTTTTAAGTAGGTAGAAAGGCTCATTTCAGAAATACGCTTAGGCCAAAACAAACAAAAAACCTTTCATTTGTTTCAAGGAGAAATACCAAAAATCCAGTTCAAGAAAAGCACAAACATAGTCAGAAAGCCCAATCTACAAACGGAAACAGAGAAATCTAATTATTATTTTTTTTTCTTTTTACTGCTCTAGTAGTATGAAGACACAATTGATGTATTCACTTTATATTAATGGACATTTAAATCTCTTGAAATTTTACACTAACAACAAAAAAAAGTTGCCAAGAAATTTTAGGAAACTAGGTGGCAACCCTGCCTGAACATTACGATTATTGGGAGAGTTAACTGAAAATCCAGAGGCTATGTGCTATGCAAGTTATTCTGTTTCACATCATGACAGACCTAGAAGTAGTATTTATAAGGTGCACTGGGGTAAAAAGTTATTCATAGTCAAAGTAAACTAGCCACTTCTGCCTTACCAGTTACCTCAAGTGCTATGAAAAATCAAATCTGAACAGAATGAAAACTGTTCCTAATTTCCAGTATAATAACGTGCAGATAACACTAGCTAAGCAGCTGCTATAGAGGAGAGATTCTCAAATTTAATTTCACATTAGAATCTGCTGGGGAGCTTTAAAAAAATCTGCTTATGTCCAAGCTCCCTCTCAATTCAATTACAATACTGGACAGGAGGATCAAAACATCAGCGTTGTATTTTATTGAAGTATAATTAATATACATTATATCAGTTTCAGGTGCACAACATACTAATTTGACAATTCTATACATTACTCCATGCTCACCACAGTAAGTGTAGTCGCCATCCATCACCATACAATGTTATTACAATACTATGCTCCCTATGCTGTACCTTTTGTTTATGTGACTTATTTTAGAGCTAGAAATTTGTCCCTGTTAATCCCCTTAATCTAGTTCACCCATTCCTCACCTACCTCCCCTCCGGCAACCACCAATTTGTTCTCTGTATTTAAGAGTCTGGGTTGTCTGTTTTTAGTTTGTTTTCTAGATTTTATTTCAAGTAATCTCCACACTCAACATGGGAGATCATATTCACAACCTGAGATCAAGAATTGCATGCTCTACCAACTGAGCCAGCCAGGCGGCCTGCTTTATTTTTTAGATTCTGCATGTAAGCTAAATCATATGGTATCTGTCTTTCTCTGTGTGACTTCATTTCACTTAGCATAATACCTTCTGGGTTCATCCACATTGTAAATGGCAAGGCCTCATTCTTTTTTATGGCTGAGTAATGTTCCATTATAAACATATATACACGTGTATATGTTTATACATATTACATCTTCTTTACCCATCATCTATCAATGGGCACTTAGGCGGCTTCCATACCTTGGCTATTGTAAATAATGCGGCAATATAACATATAGGTGCATGTATCTTTTCATACCATTCTTTGGGTAAATACCCAATAGAATTACTGGATGTGGTATTTCTATTTTTAATTTTTTGAGGAACTGCCACACTGTTTTCCACAGTAGCTGCACCAAATTTTATTTCCACCAACAGTACACAAGGGTTCCTTTTTCCCTATATCCTTGCCAAGCTCTTGTCTCTTTGATTCTAGCCATTTTGACAGGTATAAGGTGATAGCTATGGTTTTGATTCGCATTTCCCTGATTAGTAATGTTGACTATCTTCTCATGTGTCTGCTGGCCATCTACAGGTCTTCTTTGCAAAAATGTCTATTTTTATTTTTCCAAGTGTATTTCTTCTGACAAAGAGAGAGCAAACAGGGAAGGAGCAGAAAGGAAGAGAGCGAGAATCCCAAGCAGGCTCCGCGCTGTTGGTAGAGCCTGAAGCCAGGCTTGAACTCACGAGCCGTAGAGATCATGACCTGAGCCAAAACCAAGAGTCAGATGCTCAACCAACTAAGCCAACCAGGCGCCTCCCTCTGTCCATTTTAAAAATGGATTTGGTTTTTGAGGGATTTTTTTTTTTTTTGGTGTTGAATTGTAAGTTTTTTACGTATTTTGCATATGAATCCCTTATCAGATGTATCATTTGCAGATACCCTCTTCCATTCAACAGGCTGCCTTTTGGTTTTGTTGGAGAAATCTGAGTATTTAATGAAATTATGCAATATGATGTGAGGAGATACAAGAGAGAACAAAAAACCAGTCATTTATTTTCTTTGCAGAGTATCAAAAAGTTCCCACTGTTTTCTGGAAATTGCAATAAATAAGCCTGGTAGCTTATTTATGTGAAGTGTAAGGTTAACAAAGAAGTTAGAATGCTTTGTCAGCCTTCACAGATCTTCTCCATCATAATGTCAATGGTGAAGATGTGCTTTCCTGTCACTATCAGTTTGCATCTTCTAACCCAGCCATCCACCTGTGTGGATCAGTTGGTTGAGCGTCCAGCTTGAGGTCATGATCTCATGGTTCATGGGTTAGAGCCTCATGTCAGGCTCTGTGCTGACAGCTCAGAGCCTGGAGCCTGCTTGGATTCTGTGTCTCCCTCTCTTTCTGCCCCTCCCCCGCTCATGCTCTGTCTCAAAAATAAAGATAAACTTAAAAAAATTTTAAATAAAATAAAATAAAATTCTATGTGAGATCAGTTGTTGCTTCAGTACAGGTCCAAGCAGAGAAAGGTGGGAAGGAGAGATACAAAGAAGCCCAAGGCAACTTTTGGGAGTGATGAATACGTTCATTAGTCTGATTATCGTGTATATTTGTCAAAACATACCAAGGTGTACACTTAAACTATGCACAGTTTAACGTACACCAATTACATGTCAACAGAGTCACTAGAATTCATACACTGTTTTCTCAGTTTACAAAACAGGAAGAATCTAATGAAAAATTAATGTGTTCATGATATATTTTTACAGAATTCTGATTTCTCAAATTTATTTGAAGTCTATACAATAGGGGGAAAAGTGAGTTTTGAAGGTTTAAGCTCAGGCTTCTACAATGTGAGTAAAATCGTCAACTATACTTACATTTTTTTAAGTAAAAAATAAATAACACATGAATGACTTACAAATTGTAGTTGCCATCCCACTAACATGCTCCATTTTAAACAAACACAAATGAACAGTTATCATTCTTAACAAAGACTTGTTCTCCTTTGTATCCCACCCAATACGTCAAAAAAGGATACTCAATATTTATTAAAGGACTGTTTCTATAACCTTAGAAGTTTCCAGGACTCTTTCTAATACCAAAAAAAGAGATTAGAAAGTCACCCTTTCCAGAAGGACGACATATAAACATACAATTAGGTAGTTAACTGTAAATCTAAATTAATAATGGCAGGCTCCAGGCTCTGAACTGTCAGCTCGGAGCGCCACACAGGGCTCAAACTCATGAACCATGAGATCATGACCTGAGCTGAGTCCTACGCTTAACCAACTGAGCCACCCAGCCCCCCCCTCCCAGCTCCCCCCGCAATTTCAGTGGAGTTCCAGAGGACCATACAGGAGTGACTGACTCCTGTTTTTAGCATTAAGGACACAGAAGACCTGAGTTCTTTGGTCTTAAATCTGATACTGACCAGCTAGCTCTATTTAGCCCAAGACTCCATTTCTTGATTTGTAAAAGGAGTAATACTATCTGCCATTCCCGCTATTTTCAGGAACAAATGGAACTATATGAAAATATTCTGAAAATCATAAAACATATACTTTTACTACAATTACATTTTATATTGGACAACATGAGGCTTATAAACCAGGTTTTAATAGGCTCAAAATCCTTGGTTTGAGATTTTTGCTAAGTGATAGGAATCATCAATAAGATTGAATTCAGACTCAATGAACACGTTTGTGCTCTCATGTGCTAGAATTAATAAAGTTCACATCATAGGTTTTCTGTAGATTTCTTTTTGAACCAAAACAAGTTCCTGACACATAGCTGGTGTATCTATTAAGTGCTGAGCAAATAAAAGAAAAAATGAATCCTGGTTCAGCTTCATCTTCACTTCTGAGCCTCAATTCCTCTTATCTGTTAATGACTTCTAACAACCTTGACAACAATTTACAAAATGTGTCCAGCATGTGTTAAATTAGCAATTCTCAAACTGTTGGATCTCAGGTCCCTTTTACGTTCTTAAAAAAAATTTTTTTTTAATCTCTATTTTTGAGAGAGAGCAAGCAGGGAAGGGGTAGAGAGAGAGGGAGACACAGAATCCAAAGGAGAATCCAGGCTCTGAGCTGTCAGCACAGAACCTGATGTGGGGCTCGAACTCAGAGACTGGGAGATCTTGACCTGAGCTGAAGTCAGACACTTAACCGATTGAGCCACTCAGGTGCCCCTTAAAATTTAATGTTTATTTATTTTTGAGAGAGAGAGTGAGCGAGCGAGCGAGCACGGGCACAAGTGGGGGAGGGGGAAAGACCAAGAAAGAGACAGAGAATATGAAGCAGGCTCCAGGCTGTCAGCACAGAGCCTGACACAGGGCTTGAACTCATGAACTGTGAAATCGTGACCTGAGCCGGTTGAATGCTCAACCAACTGAGCCACACAGAAGCCCCCTAAAATTATTGATGACCCCAAAGAACTTTTATTTATGTGGGTTATCTATTGGTAATTACCAGACTAGAAAAACTAAGAATTTAAAAAAGTATTAATTCATTTAAAATAACATACCACGTGTCAATAAACCCATTTATATGACTGACGTAAATCAACATTTTTATTAAAAACCTACATTTTCCAAAACAAAAATGCAAAAAGTTGTATTTTTATAAATCTCCTTAATACATGGATTTTAAGAAGACAGCTGGATCCTAGTTTCTCCTTCTGCATTTAAATGTTATGCTGTTCTAATTGAAAAACATGAAGAAAATCTGGCCTCACAAATACATAGTGCGAAAATAAAGTATAGATGACCCTTGAACAACATGAGTTTGAACTGCCTGGGTCCAACTATACCTGGATTGTTTCTGCTACAGTCATCAAAAATGTATTTTCTCCTCTTTATGACTTTCGTAATGTTTTTTTCCTATAGTTCGTTGTAAAAATACAGCAATATATATAACATACAAAATATGTGTTAATGGACTGTTTATGTTACCAGTAAGGCTTCTGATCAACAGTAGGCTAGTAGTTATATTTGCGGAGAGTCAAAAGTTGTATTTTCGACTGTGTGTAGGGAGGGGGAGAAGGAGTATCCAGCAACACTAACCCCCCAATTGTTCAAGGCTCAACTGTATTTTAACAGCCTTTTCACATAATGTGGATATTCTTTTGTGATACTATACCAAAACTCAACAAGTGGTACTTTCTTAAAGGTTAGCAGCAATATGGAAACTAAAACTCTATCAACGACCTTTTTACACTTATTACATGAAAATCCCTTGATCCATCTTCCACTTTTTTTTTTAATGTTTATTTTTGAGAGACAGTGGGGAAGGGGCAGAGACAGAAAATCTGAAGCAACCTGCCAGCTGTCAGTACAGAGCCCCCAACACAGGGTTCAAACTCATTAACTGTGAGATCATGACCTGAGTTAAAGTCAGATGCCCACTGACTGAGCCACCCAGGTGCCCCCATCCTCCATATTTAATGCATCTTTTTTCCCCTGTGTAATTCTGTATCATCATGCATTGGTCATGTGAAAGAATAGTGGCTAAGGGCGCCTGGGTGGCTCAGTTGGTTAAACGTTTGATTTCGTTCAGGTCTTGATCTACCAGTCTGCGAGTTCAAGCCCTTCATAGGGCTCTGTGCTGACAGCTCAGAGCCTGGAGGCTGCTTGGGAATCTGTGTCTCCTTTTCTCTGACCCTACCCTGCTCGCACTCTCTCTCTCTCTCAAAAATAAATACACATTTAAAAAAATTACACATTAAAAAAAGAAAAAAAATACTGGCTCACTGAGCTACACAAATCACTTGACATGCTGATACATTTCATTACGAGACAGAAAAGAATCATTTGTTAATATCATTAAAAATCTTTTGTCTTAAATGTTTGAGAGAAAGTGAGTGCACAGACGAGCGGGGAAGACGCAGGGAGGCAGGAAGAGAGAGAGAATCCCAAGCAGGAAGAGAGCCACCCAGGTGCTCCAGAAATTCTTTTACGTAATGGGAAGCTTTCAAGTTCATGAAGGCAAACACAAATTTTTCAGAATTCTAATTTTCATTTGAAAGCTCAACTTTTGTCACTGGCAACAAAGTGTATCAGTTTTTTCCTTTGCTCACTTTCAAGAAAATGTCTGCCAAATACCCAAGTGTATATATCTAGCTTGTCAGAATATAAAAATGATGTTCCCAGGGGTGCCTGGGTGGCTAGGTTAAGTGTCTGGTTCCATTTTGGCTCAGATCATCATCTCACCATTCAGAGCCCCTGCTTATTAGGATTCTCTCTCTCTCTCTGCTTTTCCCCGACTCATGTATGCAATGCACTCTCTCTCAAAAATAAACAAACATTTAAAAAAAAAAAAAAAAAAAAAAAAAAAAAAAAAAGATGTTCCATAAAAAAGGTGGCTGGGTTTAGTTCTCAACTCAATCACACAAATCCTTTCCATTTAGACAATCCATCCTGCTTTAATACACAGCACAAGTATTTTATGAGTAATTCCTACTTTCTCAGACCACACATTAAAAAGATGTAGTCAAGGGCCAGGGTTTATAAACGATTTTTACTGCTTCACTAATTACATATGTATACATACATATTTTAAGCAGGCTTCACACCCAGCACAGAGCCCAATGCGGGACTCAAACTCACGACTCTGAGCCGAGATCAAGAGTACCACACTTAAAACGACTGAGCAATCCAGGAACTGCCCCCCCCCCCTTAATTATATCCTTAAATGAAACTGGCTTTAAAAAAAAAAAAAAAATTCCAAGCGGAAGGGTGTGAATATGATTGGTCATAAGAGTTCGGTATGAGATCTCAATTTAGGGTAAGCTACCAGCACTTTAACTGACCACTGCATTTGCCCAATCCAAATGTCAGCACAGTGAAAAGAGCGAGTACCCTGTCAGTATTACTATGAAAACAGTTTTGACTTCACAAAAACCCTTGCCATCTCTCACACCGTAAGAACCACTGTTGTAAATGGTAGCTGTTACTTTTACAGGAGGCACCAGCGTTAGAGCCAAAGAGATCTAGGTCTCAATCCATAAAGCACTGCTCAAGTAAGCACTCAAAACCTCAGTTTCCTTGCTTGTACAGGGAGGGTTATTACCACTTACCTCTCAGTGTTCTCTTGGGTATTACCGTGACCTAATGCATAGACAACGGTTAAACACACTGCCTGACCCAAAGCAAACACTCAAATTATAAATCATAAACGAATAAAGAAAACGCATTACTGTATGCGGTAAGACAAAACGGGACAGGAAAAAAGAAACATCTGAAAATAAAACTCACTGAACCATGACAGAGGCAAAGGTGAGAAAACATTCATATGCAAAATAATGGTTCTGAAACCAGAAGGTCAAAAAGAAAGTAAGGGAAATAGGAAAAACAAAGTAAGAATCAGATAAACATTATGGAGAATACGACAGGGCCTCAAGAGAGAGGAAGCTAAACAATTTTAAAAACACCATGGGACTTTTTTTTGGGGGGGGTGGGACAAAAACAAAAACCAAGGTTGCATACAGAGCCTTCAAGAAAAGACCGTAAGTAAAAGAAGTGACCAGGGAGTACCGGATTTGGAAGTAAAACGGGATCTCTCCAAAGTCAAAAGTACGGTGGGGGGAAAAAAATGCATTCACTAAAATTCAATTAGCAGCAAACTCTAAATTCTACTAGGCTAGCAACAAAAAACTTACCAACATAAGCTCCTAATTCTTGCAATTTCCCCTTAATGGCACTCTGAGGGGGGGGAAAAAAAACAAGCGTGCGTGTGAGAAAGGAGGAAAATCACCGGGCTCCTTAACGCAGAGGCAACTCAGCTGCTGCGTGCACCTCCCGCCCCTCCGCGCCCAGGTGGGGGTGGGGAGGCTCCCGGGACCCCTCCTCCGTCCCCGCGACTCCTCCCCTCCCCCCCCTCCCCCTCCCCCGTCCCCGGGCCTCCCGCCCGGCCCTACACGCCTCCTTCCGCTCCGGGCGGCTTTCTCCTGCCGCGGCCCCGCTCGCCCGCCGCTCTCTCCGGGGCCGCCTCTGCGCCCAGGCCCAAGGCGGCCCAGGCCGAGGTGAAGCCGTTCGCCGACCCTACGGCCCGACCAGAGCCACGGGCGGCGACTAGGCCGCGGCGTCCAGGCCGGGCCCACAGTCCCCGTTACTCCTGACAACCGCGCGCTCGCCTGCCCGCTGAGGCCCGGGTTCCCATCCACGCTCGACGCGGGCCTCACCCGGATCTTGCGGCTAATCTCGGTGCCGATCTCCATGACTCCACGGCGGGCGGCGGGCTCAGCACTGCGCGGCTCTTCGCTTACCCAAGAGACCCGCGCCGGCTCCCGGCCCGCAGCTCCGCCGCCGCAGCCGCCAGCGTCGCTCCCGGCCGCGCGCTCTGCGTGACCCGCCCCCACCGGCCCGGCGCGCCGGGGTGAACGGAGTCGAGCGCGCCTGCGCTTGCGCCTGCGCGCACGTGGGCCCCGGGAGTCTGTGTTCGAGCGACCTCTGCTGGCGACAAGTTGAGCAGCGGCGTGAAGATGCCCTAGGCTTCTCTCCGCCCCTCTCCACACCTGGAGAACTCTTCCTTTTCCTTGCCCCCATTTACTCATTTTACCCTCTTTTGGAAAATAAGGATGAATTAAATGCGCAGCAGAAAGATCCCTGGTTTTGGAGTGATATCTGAGTTAGAATCCAGACTTCACTTGCCTTTAGTGTGATATTGGTCTAGATAATTTAAACCTTCGGGTCCTTCGTTTTCCTACCTGTAAAATAGACTGTCTCCTAGCCGTTGCATTATAATTACACTTGGAGGCAAAGGAATATCCTCCGCAACAGAACCAATCAATCACAGTTCTTTCTAATGACCACAACTGGCTCTCGGGTCTGGTTCTGCTTTCCTTCTCCCAGGCCCATCAGCGGTTCTTCCCCAAGACCTATCCTCACTCTTCGGCTCCTTTCTGAAGTCCCTCCCCTTAGAGTTTTTTTCTGTCAGCCCTGAGTTCTCCCCTAAACCCCACTCCCAAATTCCAGATGGCTTTAGGCATTTGTATTTCCCCTAAAACGAACATCAAAACTGAAGTCTTCTTTATCTTTTCCTGATCCCCACTCAGACTGGTTTCTACTCCTGACAGCCCAGTTTCTATGAATAGCGGCTTCATTCTCCCTGTCCGTAATCACAAAATCTTGGAATTAGAGTAAGCACAAAGCGATGTCTACTTTCTCCCCCATATCCACTAAATCTGGAAGTGGTCCCTATTAGTTACCCATTGCTGGGTAACAAATGACCACACTGACCAGCTTAAAATACATGCATTTATCATCTCATGGTTTTCATGATTCAGGAATCTGATCACAGCTTAACTGAGTCCTCTGGTCAGACTCTCACAGGGCTGGAGGTGAGATGTCAGTCATGCTGTGTTCTCATCTGGAGGCTTGACTTCTCTAAGTTTTTTTTATGTATCTGAGAGAGACAGAGGCAGCACGGGTAGGGGAGGGACAGAGAGAGAGGGAGAGAGAGAGAGAGAGAGAGAGAGAGAGAGAGAATCCCAAGCAAGCTCTGTGCTGCCAGCCCAGAGCCCGATGTGGGGCTCAAACCCACAAAACCACGAAATCACAACCTGAGCTGAAACCAAGAGTGGGACACTTAACCAACTGAGCCACCCAGGTGCCCCAGAGGAAAACTCCACTTTTAAGCTCATCGGTGTTGTTAGCAGAATTAATTCTCTTGCAACTTTATGAGTGAGGGCCCCAGCTTTTTCCTAGCTGTTGGCTTGAGGCCACACTCGGGCCTTAGAGGTTGCCCACAGTTCCTTGTCATGTGTTTCTTCACTCTGGCTACGTAAGCCCTCCAAGACAGTCTCTCAGCTCAGGGAGGAGGGCTCAGTTCCTCTTCTAAGGGCTTTCATTTAATTTAGTGACTTAGGGCCACCCAAGTCCTGACCCCAAAATCAAGTGATTTAGGGCCTAATTACATCTGAAAAATCCTTAATTTATTTTATTTTATTATTTTTTTCCATATTCATGAACTAAAAGCAAGTCATAGGTGCTACCCACATTCAAGGGGAGGAAATTATACAGGGTGTAAACAGCAGGGGCAGGAATCATGGGGCCATCTAGGATCTGTCTGCCACACGGCCCTTTATCTGATATATTTTTTTTTCTTCTGAATTCCTATAGCATCTATGTGGAAGCTACTGGTATGACACTTAATATGCTCTCTGTAATATTAATTGTGTGTGTCCTCTCTAGCAAACTTACAAACTCTTAGTTCTGCATTTCTCCAAAATTTCTTTCAGGATACTAGACACATAGGAAGCAAATATTTATAGGATATTTGTAGGATATTTTGTAGGCTATCAAATATTTGTATGATAAAATAAATTAACTACCTAAATTAACAAAAGTATTCCTCATGGATTAATCCAATGATCATGCACTCATCCAACATTGATGAGAAGCAGCGGAACAGAGTGACTGAGAACAGGGACACCAGAGCCAGACTGTCTGGGTTTGAATCCTAGCTCTGCTACTCCCTCCAAGACCTTAGGCAAGTTGCTTGTCCTCTCAGTGACTCAGTTTCCTCATCTGTGACATAAGTATGATAGCAGTTTCTCCTTCATAGGGTCATGAGGGTGAAATAAGTTAATATTTTGGGAAGCATTTTGAACCATGCTTGGCTTACAGCAGCACTGTGTTGATTAAAAATTAAATGCCTTCCCAGAACTAGACACTGTGCTGGAAGCCAGAGCACAGACATGATCAAAACTGAGTCGCTGGTGTGCCTGAGTGGCTCAGTCAGTTAAGTGTCCGACTTCAGCTCAGGTCATGATCTCATGGTTCGTGGGTTCAAGCCCCCTGTTGGGCTCTGGGCTGACAGCTCAGAGCCTGGAGCCTGCTTTGGATTCTGTGTCTCCCTGTTTCTCTGCCCCTCCCCCAATCATGCTTGCTCACATGCTCTGTCTCTCTCAAAAATAAACATTGGAAAAAAAACAAAAACTGAGTCCCTGCTTTCATGACACTCTCAATCCAAAGGATAGTACATTATTTCTATTTCTTTACCCATCATTTCAGAACTAAGAATGAAAACACAGGATTTTGTATCCATTACTGATTACAAAATCCATAGTCAATACTTAGATAATACTGAAAGAACATTTTAGAAAGAACAGAGAATGTTTTCATTAAAATGTATTTAGAATAGAGAAATTTTTATTAAAATGTATTCAAGAGGCGCCTGGGTGACTCAGTTGGTTAGGTGTCCGACTCTTGATTTCAGTTCAGATCATGATCTCAGTCATGAGTTGGAGCCCCAAGTCGGGCTCAGCACTGATAGTGTGGAGGAACCTACTTGGGATTCTCTTTCTCCATCTCTCTGCCCCTCCCCTGCTTGCTCTCTCTCTCTCAAAATAAATAAACATTTAAATAAAATAAAATTCCAGAATGGGTTAACTTTCAGGACAATCTATTTAAAACCATGGAGGAAGAGATTTGTCAGCTGCTTAAGAATTCACACATTTATAGTAACAAAGAAGATGAAAAGAAATGCTTTTACTTAAAAAAAGGGTAGAGGGTGTCTGGCTGGCTTAGTCAGTGGAGTGTGTGACTCTTGATCTCAGGATCGTGAATTCAAGCTCAACGTTGGACCTAGAGCTTACTTAAAAAAAGAAAAAAAATTCACACATTTAGACCTCAGGAGTTACAGTGTCTGGATCACAGGGGACAAACCCACTAAACCAGTGGTATTCAGTGGTCCATCACTGTTCGAGGTGCTTCCCTGTGAGATGCATCTTCATAAACCACATGACATCCAGAGGAAGATGATCATGATGATGGTCAGAAAGAAACCATGAAATTTACAAAGGGTATTTATTTCACTTGAAAAAGACTAAGCTGGACCAAGAAAATTCTTTCTGGCATGCAAGAGCTCTCCATTTTAGGAGGAATGACATATTTTGCTCTAGGGGATAGAATGAGGACTAGATTTCAACAAACCGCAATGCAGCCTAAGAAGGTTCTGGGCTGTCTTTCAAAGAAAGATGACTAAAAAATGCATTGGCTTTGAAATCAGAGGGCCCTGAGCACTAAGCCCAAATCCATGGATCCGGAGTCCTCTGACACTGGCTTTGTAGTATCCCCAGCCTCCTCTCAGGATAACATTCCACCTGGATGTTGCACGTGCACATCCTTTGCAAGTGTATGTGGGGAGCACAGAGGGGGTGGGGGGTCGGGGATGGTTTCTTTCAGCTTGGAATGCTTTCCTCTTCTTTTCGTTGAGTTCTTAGTGAGCTTTTTTGTTTGTCCTTCCAGACTCAGCCAGAAGTTGATCATAGTGATAAAACAGACATTACCACCTCACTTAAAATGTATAATTTTTTAAATGTTTTATCTAGTTTTGAGAGAGAGTGCACATGTGTGTACGTGCACAAGTGGGGGGGGCGGGGGGGGACCACAGATAAAACAGACTCCTCACTGACAGCAGTGAGCCTGAAGTGGGGCTTGAACTCAAGAACTGTGAGATAATGACCTGAGCCAAAGTCGGCACTCAATTGACTGAGCCACCCAGGCACCCCTAAAATATATTCTCATTGGTATATTCCCCTTCTATAATACACACACACACACACACACACACACACACACACACACCACATATATAGTACTGGAATGTGTGTGTGTGTGTGTGTGTGTATATATACATATATATATATATATATATATAGGCCTAAGTCTTTGAAGACACAGACATGCATCTTATTTATCCTGCTTTTTGTGGCCTCTGGCTTGGAATAAATGCAGGATGAGTGCAAGTTTTTCAATAGTGAATATCACGTGGTTTGTCTGTCCTTGGATCAAAAGCCCAAAGTGTTGGGAATTATAGTCACAGTGCCACTTTGCTACTGAGGCTGATAAACGTTTTTCCGTTTTCTTGTCCGTTGGAACAAATATACTGCCAGCACCATCATTTTTCTATATCCAGGGGAATCTATGCTCTATATTCTCACACTTTTGCAGCTGAAAAGTTGCTGCACCTGATAAAGTGCTGAATGTGGTAGGCAGAGCACACAGTGAGGATTCAGACTAAAGGAGATTTCACCTTTCTGGCTGTGGCTCCGGCTACAGGAATCATTATCTCTATGTGGTGGGAGGAGGGAGGCATTCATTCAGATTTCTGCAGAAGATGGTAATTTACCCAGTGAGGTTTGATAGATACTCACCAAGCTTAATCTCTTAACTCCTAATATTAGGAGATTAATTTCTTAACTCCTAATATTGGTCAATGGAGCACCAAACCCACAATTTCTTTCCTTTTTATGGAGTCTCTTTTTAGTACAAGATTTTCTTTTTAAAATTTTATCTTTTAAA